AATAAAAAAATAAAAGATTGAAACCACAATTTTTAAAAAATAAATTAAGTTTTTGTTAATTCAAAATAACCAAGTCCATTGATTTGAAAGAAAAATAAATTATAATTGATCTAACCTAGGCTAATTTTAGAAACAAACAAAATTGCAGAATTAATATTTTAAAAAAAGTGAAACGCCGCTGCCGGGGATCGAACCCGGGTCACCCGCGTGACAGGCGGGAATACTTACCACTATACTACAACGACTTGTTTGTTAAATTATCATCGTTTATGTATATATTTCTGTTCTTCTTACCTAATTTGAATTTTTAAGTCAATAGAATTATTCTTTGACCGAAATTTTCTTACATGTTTTTAAAATATTTAAGTTGTTACTTATTATGATTTATAATACATTTTTTTTCATAGTTTTCAACTATATAAGTTGTATTGCAAAAAACTTAAAACTTCTATGTTTGAATTCATGATCAAAGTTTACAAGTTTGAATCTTGAAATTTCAATTGTGTCATCTAAATTGGGACAGAAGAAGTACATGTCTCAAACACAAACAATATACACACAATTAGATAAAGATGGGAGTAATAAATAAAGCTTATACCTTAGAACTTCCCTGCTGTGATGCACAATGGAGGCGCACACATGAATTTGTGACTTAAAATATTTTTTGAAACATTATAGGGAGATCCATATTAGTCGATAACATATGGTGATCAAGTAATTATATGAAAAAGACTTTCTCAACATTTAGGTGTCCCAGAGCTGGGACGAATTCAGGCTGAGTTACGAATTTGATAGAACTCAATATTTTTAGCTCAATTCCTATATTTGTAAATATATATAAATACTTTATTTAGAATCTAATAAAGAAAAATAATTGTGATTTGAATCTGATAAACTAAATATTTTGACTCGGCCTCTGTCCCATAGAGAATTCTGTAATGACACATTGATCATGACATGATAGCCAATAGAAAGAAACTCAAATCTTGGACGTAATATTGTTGTCCATAACTGACTTTTAAGTTTCGTGCCAACTTTCTTTGATTTAGTTAAGAAATGTATTTAGTTTGAACGGAAAAAAATATGAACCACATAACGTGAAAGAGTTGTTCGGATAATAAACATTCTTTCATTCAATCAAAATGTTATGAATTTAAATTACCAAAAAAGCAAAAATATAGTAAACTTCTAGGGAAGGATTAAAAAAAAAGGGACCGGCCACATAATAGAAAGCATTAGAGACACATATAAATGAAAATGCAAAATCGCTGAAGAATATGATGAACTGTGATAAGTACTTTTTCATTCTTATCTAATAAGTTTGTCTTGATAGAAACATTGAATCCGACTCTAATATCATATTAAATTAAGTCTTGAATCTAACTTACACCTCAAAAACTACCTCAAAGAGAGAAGAATTGTGACAAAAAAATTGTTTACACATATATACTAGTAGGCATTGGATATGAACTTTAAATCATAGTTTTGAAACAATAAATTTAAGTAAAGGTTGATTTGACGTTGAAATTTTGTTTGAATATACTATTTTGATTTTGAAAGTAGGTACTTTTTTCTTCTTCTTATAAACATGATGAATATATATCACAATTTGTGAAAACTAACTTTTATATAATTTCACCAAATTAAATGAGCAAACAATAGTTCATGATATGTATGTAAGAATATTCAAATGCGCTGCAATGATAAATCACATATCTGTATTTTTCGTTTATAAATAAATATTTGCAAGTACATGCTATTACAAACACAATTAATCAACAACTACAACTCATAGGAGGAAGATCCAAGTTCTTCTCACTAGACGATTTCTTAAAAACCCTACTTCCAAAAACCATAAACCCTAAAGAGTGTCCAACAATAGCAACCAAGAAAACACCACCATTAAAAGACATAACAGCCAACATAACAACATAAGCCAAACCAATTCTCAAACCATACAAGATTGTCTGAAGAAGTCCAAAAGTCACATGATCATCAACATTACTCTTGTTAATATAGTTGCTCTGAGAGAGAAATTCAACGAAAACCGCCATGAAAAAGACAACAACAAGGGCCAAGATGTACATGCCCAAATTATCATATCCAGGCCAACCTGAGAAGAGAATCTCAGTATTCTTTCCCCAAAAAAATGTCATATGCATCATCATGTGATGGTGGTTCTTCATCATCATCCCACTGTTATCATGAAATGTTTAAAACCTCAATATTAAAGGACATTATGATAATATTCATTAGATTGAATCGAACTAAAAGATTACATCATTATTTATAGAGATTTATATGGAATAATTCTTTTTTTTTAAATGTTATTTTTACTTATAATAGATTCTATTTTTTTTTATAAAAAAAAACTAAAAATACATTTTTGCAATTACTATAGATCCTAGATTTGAAAGGAAAGTAAATATTCTCGCATTATAAAAAAATATATTCTATTTTAATACAAATCATAAAGTAAAAGAAAAGTAAAATTTAATACCCGCCTCCTCCAGTGGCGTTGTTCATGATGGTTGACGATGATAGTGGAGGCGGCCCCATAGCCATTCCATGCATGTGGCCGTCGTTGTTCATCTCTCTTTTCTTTTTCTTTTTTTCTTCCCTAATTCTTGATTTTTGTATGTGGAATTAGGAGATTTATATTAGAAAAAGAGAGTGATATTTATGGGAACTTGTAATTATTGATAGTACATTATAGTAAGCGTACTTCTTTTTAAAGTACAAAATTAACATAAATGATAAGAAATTTAAAAAAGGAGATTGATTTTCCCTTAATTAATAATGAAGGACAATTTTAAGTTTTTTTTTTTAAAAAAAATAATCCAAGTTTAAGTTTGTAACGTTAAAGTCCTATTTAGTTTTGTAATACTACACTTATTTCCATTTTTTCCTTCGTAAAAATAACTTTAAAACTAAAGAGTCATAATTTATCTAATAGAGTCATAAAATTTTATTTTGTATTAATAAAACTATAAAGAATCAAATTTGCTCTAGAACTATGAGAAATAGACCACTTATACCCTCTGTTACATTTTGGGACAAAAAATGCCCCCATCGTTATTCCAACATACCACATATACCCTTAAGAGGTAACAACTCATTTAGCAAGCCATGTGGAACTAATCCTTCTACCTAAGCATTTCCAACTAGGATTCCCACTAAATTATGAGTCATTAATTTCAAAGCTATAATCAGTGTTTTAAAAGGCGGGGACGTGAGTTCATACGTTTTATGTAGTACGGGTGAGGCATAAGCCCCGAGATACGGGGTGTAACTCTCATGAATCTACAAGGCATACATCTCATGTATATTCAATTTTATTATTTTATTACTAAGAAAATAAGCCAAAGTAAAACTTTCAATGATTTTACAAATAAATAACCAATAATATAGAAAATATATTATAATTATTATTTGAGAAATGTATTAATAACCAATAATATAGAAAAAAATATTATAATTACTATTTGAGAAAGGTAACAATTAACAACACATAAAATGACAATAGACAAAATAATCTTTGAAATGAAAATCATCATCCATTTTTGTATTTACTAGTCCTTCTCACCCTCAATAATATTTGCACTGATTATTGTTTATATTTTAAAGAAGAAGAAGAAGGATAAACAATGTAAAGTAATGAAAAAAATGACTAAAGTTATCTTCTTCTTTTTTTGGTTTCCCACCCGGTGTCCAGAGCCCATTAGAGCTCCGACTAAATTCGGATCGCGCACTGCAGCCTGCAGTAGAGCCCATTTGGGGGTGACGCTCCCAACAAGATTTTCTCCATACCCAGAGCTCGGATCTGAGACCTCTGGTTAAGGGTGAAACACTCCCATCAATGCACCACAACCCATATTGGTATAAAGTTATCTCATAAACATAGTGTGCTATGGAACTTAGACCTTTATATTAATAAAATCACCCAACTAAATTTATCATTAAAAGAAACTAACATAACTAATTAATCTTTTTTTTGGTTATGTAACATGGATCCCATAAATAAGTAAAATTAAAGAAAGCTCATTAAGAAGGATTTAATTGATACAAATGTCTAAGTTAATTAATTTTATTAATATCAAACAAAGTTAAAAAATTCACTAGATAAATTCTTATAGTTAAGTAATCTTTTGGAATATTAACTCAATTTTAAAATAGCACATTGTCAAATTGCAATTATTTTGTATTATTATCAAACAGTTTTAAAGGTATTTTTACAAAGGAAAATAAAAAAAGGAATTAATAAATGTAGTAATACAAACTAAATAGGACTTAACGTTACAAACGGAAACTTGGATTTTTTTTCTTATTATTTTTTAAATTGTCCTTCATTATTAATTAAGGGAAAACCAATCTCCTTTTGAAAATTCCACCATTTATGCTAATTTTGTACTTGAAAAAGAAGTACATTTACTATCGAGTTGAACTTTCTAATAATTGAAAAAGGAGTCCTCAACATTAATTCATGTGGAATGTTGAAAAAACAACATTTTGATTGGAAAAGTTCTCCAAAACCAAGTATATGACAGAAAATTTCTTTACATGTACTCCATTCATTTTAAATAAATACATATCGTTCATTTTTAAAAATATTTGTCTTAAAATACTTATTATTTTAGATTTTTTTTAAAATTTTTTAATAGTAATAATTCTTGAAAACTATCGATACCTAATTATATACGATACATAAATAGAATAATATTAAACGGAAAAAGCTTATATCTTATGACATATATAAATTAGGTAAAATATTCAAACATCCATCCTAATTAATATTTTTTTAAAAAAACATATAAGTAAAAAATACGATAAATATTTTGAGATGAAAATTGTACTCTAAATAATTTGGTTCCTCTCTTACTCCTTATAATAGATGCCACATGTTAAGACCATTTTATACATGGTTGCTGCATCACTATTTTCATAATTATAATGATGCACCCCCACTAATGCAAGTTCTTCTTCCCATACTTTTGCTTGTCTTATATGTCCTGCCATTGTAGTAGCTTGTTCCACCCTGATGCTAAGACAGAGTACTGAAAGAAAGGGTGTGAGATTGATTCATTCTCCGATTCACAAAAAGGCATATCCTTCGTGTACAACCTTCCATAACCAACCAACATCACAATGAACAACCAATTCGGGGCAGAAGGAGTATTGTAAATTAACTTCTTCCATCTTACTTTTGGAAATACCCTTTGCATCAATTGGTACATCTTTTTTACTGAGAAATAGTGTAATCTATGGAGTTGATATTCGGTGTAACCAACAACTTCCACCTATTCCTTAGCTTTGAAAATCTTTTTGACAAACCAAGATGCTTGTTTTATTTTGGAATTGTCCTACTTTACTTTTTAGTCGATCTGTTTCAAAAGAGAACACATGCTTCTTATTTTTGCTAACTATTTGATTCCAACTTTTTACATGATTTATTTAAGGTCATAAGATTAATTAAAGATATTTTTGTATATTTGACATATCTTTAGCTTATGATCTTAAATTTCGTGTCAAATCAAAATAAGACAAACAAATTGAAATAGAAAATTTGTAGAAGTATATAACTTAATGAACAAGATAAAGTAAACTAATGTGAATACATGTATTCCATTAATAAAATTTATCAGAAGCAACAATTCATATGAGGATTTCCTTAAAACCCTACTTCCAAAAATCAAGAACCCTAACAAGCGTCCAACAATAGCAACCAAGAAAATACCAACATTAAAAGACATAACAGCCAACATAACAACATAACCTAAGCCAACTCTCAAACCATACAAAGTTATCTGAAGAAGTCCAACTCTCACATGATCAACATTATTATCCCCTTTAATAAAATTGCTATGAGAGAGAAATTCGAAGAAAATTGCCATGAAAAAGATAAAAACAAGTCCCAAAATGTACATGCCCAAATTATTGTATCCAGGCCAACTTGAGAAGAGAATCTCAGTATTCTTTCCCCAGAAAAACGCCGTGTGCATCATCATGTGACGATGGTTCATCGTCACCTTGCCACCTCCTGTGCCATTGCTCGGCGGCCGTATAGCCATTCCATGCATGTGGCCGCCGTTGTTCATTTTTCTTTTCTCTCCTAATTCTTGATTTTTGTCTGATGAATTATTAGGAGAGGAGAGTGAGAGTTATGAGGTATTTAAGTTAGCAACAAAATGATTAATAGTACATTGTAGTAAATGTACTTTTTTTTCTAGTACAAAATTAAAGGATGAGGCATACTTAAATGGTAGAGTTGTAAAATTAGATTCTTCAAATTTGTTTCCTCAGAAACTTTCCTTCTCGTTTAATTTAGTTAGAATAATTGTCTCATTTGTTTCATTGTTCTTTAGATAATTGTAAAAAAAAATACATTTAAAGTATCATGTTTTTGTGAGTTTTATATCTAAACTACTAGATATTTGTGTTTTTATCTGAATTATTACAAATCATTTATCAAAACACATCTCGAATATGACTAGATCAAGTATTTAATACAATCGCCAAAAGGCACTTGACAACTTACTTTGCCCATAAAATTTCGTCCACATGGTAACTGACTCATTAATTTCGAGGTGAGTTTTGATAAATAGTTGGTGACAGTTCATGTAAGAATTGCAAATATATGATAATTCAAATTAGAAATTCGCAAAAGTGATACTTCAGGTGTGTTTTGAATATTTTCTTTAATTTTCAAATCAAAAAATGACCTAAAATACCCTCGAAGTATTAAAAAAAAAAAGAAGGTACAAAACTACCCCCATCCACCATGAGGCGAATCCAGGATTTCAAAAAAATGGGTGGACCATAGCTTTAAAGATAAGATCTAAAAATTTATAATAACAATAACTCATCGAGAAAAAGATAAAAAAATTACATTACCAAAGTTTACAATTGTACCCAGCGAGCTATTACGTAGATATTTTTTGATGAGCTTTGTTATATCCCATTTTAACCGGGTCAAAATAGTGTACAACATATTGGTGATTTCCAAATTAATTAACTTAAGAAGTCGCCACCTAATTATTTTTAAGGTAAATTAAGATACCTAAATTATTAACTTAGTAATACTAAAATTGACTCCAAATAAGGTCTACTTAACTTAAGTGATTCAGAGTTCTAAGTATCCTAAAGGGAAGGGGTAAGGCATCCTTTAAGATTCGCTAAAAACGATTACTGGTCAAACTTAGGTTAATAACAAGAGATTATCTATTTCAAATTTATTCAATTTTTTTAGGCGCGTAGAAAAGGACTATTTTTGAGAAAAATGATTAGAAAAATAAAAGAAAAGCATTTTAAAATAGTATAATGCGTGAGAAATGCATATGTGCGTTGTATATATAAAGAAGAGGTATATGCTTATGAGATGAAGTAATATGATGAAAATGCGGTATGAGAATGCACAAGAATGTTGCATATAAAAATAAAGGACTAGTAAAAAATAAAGAAAGCATGTTTGGGTTAAAATAAATAAACACCTTATTTTACTTAAGAAAGAAAAAGGTTATTAAGGGGGTGGAAATGCACTCTCAAGTTCTTGAAAAGTTGTATTTTTACCATGAAAATCTGTACTCTAAAGTTCACAAAAGACTATGTTTAAGTCTCAAAAGATGCTGCATTTTCCAAATAAATTTAAACCATAAAAAACTGATAAAAGGGGGGGGTGCATTAGAGCCCTAAAAAAAATCTGCACATAAAACTATTAAAGCTGTATTTTAGTTCTCCAAAATCTGCATTTTTAAGGGTTCAAAATATGTACATTTTGTACTTCGAATCTGATTTTTTACACTTTTTGGAAAGCTATATATTTTCACTAAAATCTGCATTTTTTGCCATTGAAAAAGCTGCCTTTCTTTGCACATAAAATCTGCACTTTTGAACTTACTGAATTACATTTTTATGCTAGACAAATCCGTATTTTAACTTTACTCTTAATAGAGTAGATTAAATAAAAGAAACAAAGATAAAAACGATTGGTTAGTAGTCATATGTGCATATCTACTCAAGATAGGAAACTACATATCACAAACTACCCTTTTTAAGGTTCAAGTGTTCTAGGCCTAATTCTTTATCGATAAAATCAAAAGAAATTAAAATAAGAATATAATAAAAAAAGATAAGTATAACAAACTTCATAACATAATTAATGACAAATAAAATAAAGGAATAAGAGATAGAAGTAAGCTAAAGAAGCATCTCCTCCACTCTCGCTTTATTTTTTTTTTAGATGGGAGAGAGTGGAAGAAATGGATAAGACTCCAGAAGCTCTTTTGTTATCACTTCCATTTCTGTTCAGAAGTAATATAAAGGAGCAAGAGCAGTAGATGAGTGACAACGAAGAGAAAGATGCCATCTTCGGGTATAGCGATGATGAGGTTGAGTCTCAAAACGAGACTCTTTGTGCTCTATTGTCATGAAAAACAAATATATATAGGGAATTAGAAGAACAGATTTAGCAAGTAGAAATATAGGAAAGACAAAAATAAATTCCTCAGCATAACATATTAGAGATGTAACTAGCTGCAAAGAGAAAACATACATGAAAACTTGATACAATTAAAAAATTAAAACTTAGAGAGGGTTAAAGGAATCACTGTACAACTCTTTCTTTAGGAATTTGATCTAAACTAAACTCATAGTCTCTAAAGTAATGTTTAAAGGTATATGCCATGATTTTAGCTTAGACAAACAATATATTCACATGGATACAAATGATGGACCTTCCATTTAGATAGAACATATATTTGGAACAGGCTGAACATATTACACATTTGATCTTAGATATGAATATAATATCTAGGTTAACAGAAAGAACACTTGAAACATAGCTGAATATTCAACCTTTAAGAAAAGGGTTTATGACTACTTAGTTACTAGGTTTTAAAATGCAAAGATGAACAACATATAATGCAAAACTAGATTGAAACAATACTTAATATGCCAAAATATAAAAGTTTAATTGTACTCGGTCTATGTATGTTTTTTTTTGCTTAAATTTATTTGGACAGAATGCATAATTTTGCCGAATGAAACAGATTTTAAAATCAAATAGTTTAAACAAACAACACGATACTATTCTTAAATCACATGCACAAACAGATTTTAACACTTGTTCCTATATACAAAGTTTGAACATTATGATTGACTGAGGTCAAGCTATTTACAATGCCAAAAATACAAAACAAACAGCGAGCTCACAACATGTTAAAACATAAATTCATCCATATCTCGTAGAAAAAAGAAAGGAAAAAGCTCACTGACCTATTTCGGGGCAGTGAACTTTGAACCTCGGATCCACTCGCTATCTCGAAAGACCTTCAATGGTGGGAGTAAATAAACAGACAACAACTTAACACCAAAGGCGGAAATGGAGAGACACAAACGGGTTGAGTTCTTTTAGGAGATCAAAGGCGGCTGGAAAAAAAAACCCTTCCTAAACCTATTCCAAACATTGATATTTATAGGCAGACTTTCTAGGGTTGAAATCTTGAGCGGGAAATACATTTATTTGAACTTGGTCAAAACAAAAGTTCAAATTCAAACCTTGCAAATCACAGTTCCTCACGTGATTTGAATCAGAGAAAACAAGATAGACTATACTTCAAATGGGAAATCTTTGACTGCCCTTCGGACATTGATATAGTTTAAATGACAATGATAATAACATAGCCATAAAAGTCGTAGCAGTGAAAAGTAGTTGTGAAAAAGGTTATTTTGATGCGTTATCAATTTAGAAGCTCAGAAATAATAAATTGAAAGAAAGGAGGGTCAAAATTGGGTGTCAACAAGCTTCATTGAGGAGAAATGCTCTTTCCACACTTGTGGTAGCAACATGCAAAATCAAAGTCGGCTTACAAGTAAATAAACAAGGGACCAAATTTGATCCAATTTTGTTTGTACCATCATCATAGCAAGTTCTTTAATCCCCTTCAAGTTGAGAAACTTGCTATCACACTCTCGAGCATAGACAATGAAACTATTAAACTGATAATTATGATCTCGACGTTGACTATCACCAAGCTCACTTTTGTAATATTTGGCCAACTTCATGATTCTGCTCTTACTAAAATTAACAAATGAATCAACCGGATTCAAATTATCCATACCAAGGAGTAAGTCTGTAGTCAGAACATCAAAACGATTATTGAGCTCCTGGAGTTGCAAATCAATAACTGCATCAAACACTTCCACACGAGAGTGATGTAAATATGAAACTTCAGATTTCTTACGCTTCGATCTTGGATAGTCTTCAGCCATTTCAGGAATCAAAATATCATGTTTACCCCAAAATGAATAAACCTCATCCATCAAAGGCTCCAAATCACTCTCTCTCATTGTTTGTGATCTTCTCTTTGAAAGATTAAGTAATCCCATAACATTGACGATATCTTGACCTTTTTTTAAGCTTTGTTCAATTCATTTGTAAGAAGCAACATCTTGAACATCAAATGCAACACAAAGATAAATTCAAATTCTTAAATTTTATCTAAAAGGTTTCTTGATGCAAGTTTATCAAGATCATGTGGAGAATCTTCTTTCGTATCTTTAAACACATTAGCAATTGAAGAAAATATAATTATGAAATTTTCCAAGGTCTTGAAATGGGATCCCCAACAAGTATCACCTAGTCGTTGGAGGCCACGTTTTTTATTTAATCCTTGCCCAATAAGAATTTCTCCAAATTTAAGTATCCAACTTCTCAACTTGGTGTTCTCGAAGTAAGTCCTTGTATTTAAAAGATGTTTTAATAGTATTCAAAACATTAGTGACAACATAAAAGAAATTGTTTACATCCGGATGCTTTTTAGAAAGAGTCACAAGCATCAATTGCAATTGGTGAGCAAAACGATGAATATAATGTGCAGACAGAGTATCTTACAAAATCAAAGACTTTAGGTCATTTTTTCCTCCTTACATATTATTAGCTCCATCATAACCTTGTCCACAGAATCTTGATAGGCTTAGCGAGTGATCCGAAAGAAACGCGTAAATTACTTTTTGCAATAATTTTCTGGAACACTACTCAAAAAGTTTTCTATCAGATCAATTCTCTATTTTTGTTAACATAAACTAATGTCATTTGCTCTTTATGTGAAATGTCCTTTGACTCATCAATTAGTATTCCAAAATAATCACCATCCAAGTCTTTGATGATAACTTTAATTGTTTCTTTAGTACAAGCATCCACAATTTCCTTTTGAATTGTTGAATAAATTATCATATCATTTTTGGAGCATGTTGTACTATTACCTTTTACACATCCAAACGATTAACTCCATGAAATTTCAAAAGTTCAAGAGAAAGACCTTTGTAATCAGAATCTTCACTCTCATCATGACCACGAAATGGTAATCTGATTCTTAGGAGAAACCTTACCACATAGATTGAAGCATTTAAGCGAATTCGATAATCACTTTTTGTTTTTTCACTTTGCTTGTGAAGAGAAGATTGAATCTATTGACGTTGATTCGCAAAATCAAGCTTCCTATTCAAACATTTGTTATGAATACTATTTACCTCACCAACATGCAATCGAATTCTTTTCGTACCATGATTTCAATTTCTAAAACCATCTTGTGTAAATGATTTACCTGCATTGCCACGACTTTTAAATTCATTCTTGAAGAGATAACAACACAAACAAAATATAGCATCATTATTTATGCTATATTTCAGCCAAGCAGAATTTGGAGCATTAAACCACTCAGGATCAAATTGGCGATTCCGAGTCCCAAATGTTGTTTTATGATATACACGAAGTTTTGGTTGATAATGCCCCATCAAAATATAATAATGTCTCCTCACAACATCTTGTATATTGAAATCATATTCAAAGATGGGTTTCCTTTCTTCGGGATCCCGTTTAAGAGATCCAACACCAATAATACAATGAACATTTGAAGGAGAATGTGTAATTGTCTCTCTTTTAGCTTCTGGAGCTACATGTGAACTAACAGATGGATCGCTACTAGAATGTGCTTGCTTAATCAAGAAGTTATCCATTTAGCTATTCAAGGATAAATGTTCCTACAAATTTAAATTACTATTCAACTTAGTCACAAATTTAACTTGCAAATTTAAAATAAAAGAAGAGAATCACAGACCTTTCACAATAAAAAAACAGGGGAATTACAAAATTGAAAATTCAAACAAAATAGAGGAGTCATAACCCTTGCAAATCTAAATAAAATAGAGGAATCACACCCCTTTCACATTTAAAAAAACAAGAAAATCACACATTCATAATAAAAAAGAGGACTCACACCTCTTTTGCATTTGCAAACACATATTCATAATAAAGAAGAGGAACCACACCCCTTTCACATTAAAAAAAAAAGAAGGAATCACTCCCTTCAAAATTAATAATAATAGTTAAAAAAACGCATTTCTTACAAGTTATATCTGCAAAATATGTAAGTTTGAGATAACCAATTCATTAGCTCTTGATGATTTCTTATTATAAGTAATGACAAAGATTTTTTTTTAGGAACCCTAAAATTAAAATCATTATTTAATTTATTTATTTTTGTTAGTTTGTTTATTAAAAAGAGAATTCATGAACTAAAAAGAATTTTACCTTAAATCCTGACAATGATGATTTCCTAGATTCTTAATGACTTGAAGTTGGAGACTTGAAGCTTCTTTGTGTGGAAAATAAAAGGCAAAATTTAAAGAGAGAAAAAATATTGTTGGAACTTAGAAAATGCGTAGGAAGAAAACCTTTTGAGTCTTTACGAATTTAGCTTCTTTTTTTTTGAAAAAGTGTTTTTAATTAGTAAATTTTTTTTGAAGCAAAATGGTGTTGGCTGGGATCAAACTAGAGACCTTAGTGTTGAAAACAACCCCTCAGACCAGTGAACCATCTACCCATTTTTAGAATGGGTTCCTCCAGCTAGTATTTAATATATCCTTTAGTGATTATACAAGTAAGATATCGAGTTTAGTCAGACGACCACGAATTTCAGTGACCCAAATTTAATACATAAATTCACCCCTTCATCTACCTATTGGCTCCCAAATAGCTTTCTCATCCACCTTTGGATCCAATTTTGACCACTTCTTTAACAGACTATCATTTAAAACTATTGAATAATTTTTTAAAATTATAGTTCACTCAATCAATGATTATAATTTAATAATTTAATATAGTTTATACACTCACCCATTACCCGTGAGAAAGTCGAATAGACATTCTTTTTTCAATCAAAATTGTTGTATCTAAAGTATGTTTTCAAATCAACATTCTATTCTTAATCATGTATGAGATAAATGTTCAATTTGAGTCAAATAAGAAGAGGAAGCATGATAGACCGTCAATGCAAAAGGGATGAATACATATGCAATTACTTAAATATCCAAAAAAAAATATTATTTCGACACTTAAATTGAAATATTAACACCATGTTATTAAAATCATGATTTCACAAGAACTTTTTTTAGTATTTCACATGAATAGTGTGTCTAGCATTTGAAAGTTTATTCTTAACAAAAGAGGATGATTGTCCAACATGTCCTAGTTAGCATCCTTGTTATCTATCCCATAGACTGCATCTTTGGTGTGGCGCTTCCATGACTCAGTCAATATCAATTGCTCAATAGCTTATCACCAAAGGATGTAGTGCAGCGGATGGAGTTGTTTCTCCCTTAATTAGAGGTCTTGGGTTTGAGCCCTGGTATGAAAAAATTATTGGTAGGGAGCGCTTCCTCCCGAATGGGGCCCTAGGCGGCGCGAATCCAGAATAGTCGGGCTATAATATGGATACCGAACGCTGGATAGAAAATAAAAAAAGAATTGTCCAATATCTTTCCCCCATCTCGGTATCAGAGCTAGATGCAAGATAATATCTTACATGATCACTCAACTTCGGATAGTTTACTTAAAAAGTCACTTAATTTTGTTTTATAACCCAAAAGTTACTATACTAATTAGGATGATTCACTTAAAAAGTTACTCAACTTTTATTTTATAGCCCAATATTCAAAATTAAAATGTTCACCTAATACTCTCGCCACCGATGAGATTTAAGTTTCGAGCACTAAGCGTATCCAACAACAAAGAAGAAAAACGATTGAATGTTGGAGTTCACGAGCATTTGACAATCTAGTAGAAAATCAAAGTTTCTCATAAACCTGATCTAAGAGGGTGTTTGGATAAACTTTTTTTTAAGTGACTTAAAAGTCAAAAGCCAAAAATAGGTAGCTACCTACTTCTGACTTTCAACTTCTTCTTTTTTTGTACTTTTTAAGCTTAAAGTTATGTCTTTGCCAAACATCTCTAAAAAATAAAAAAGTATTTATATTTCTTTTTTCATATTCTACATGTATGTCATTCGTTTCTTTTAGATCTCTTCTTAATAATATTAAGAAAAAAGACATAAAGTGACACCTGAAGTTGTCTCAAATTTTCAAAAAAACACCATAACTAACTATGCGGGCGTCCTATTACCCTACAAAATTATTTAATATCGTTGTAAAGAGACAATTTTGAACCATTTTCTCCCTATGTTTGCATTCACGCAGATGATGCGCGTGTATGTGATTTTTTTCTTTCAAAAAACGAATTAAAAAGTGCCACATGTCATTTCCTTTTCTATTATTTAATCTTTAAATACTTCATCTTCCCCAATTCTTTCAAAAAGATCCCATGGTTGAAGGTTTAAACTCAAAAAAATAAATCATCTTCTTTCTTGAATGAAATCAGCCCAAAAAGATAAGAACTTTCTAACTTCTTGTTAATTTCTAGTCGTCAAGGTTTAATTTCTTCTTAATTTCTTTAAAAATTGAGAAATCAAGTTATCTTTTGTAATTAAATTTTGAGGAAAAACATTCTTATAATGTCAAATATAAATATTGAATCATATTTGTAATGACAAGAATAATTTGATGTTGTGTGTGATGTCATGCAAACATGAAGACTTACTTTCAATGCAAATTTAATGGTCAAAGCAAAAAATTCTTATGTTTTTTCTCATTTTTAAAAGCTTCTAGTACTTATTAAAATTTAGTTCCATAAGATGGTGAATTTGAAGAATTATTTCATTATGGAAAAGCGCCACAAATTAAATCCTACCAAAACCCCAACCCGCAGAACTTAAAGAAGTTCAATTCTACTTCACAACAATGACGGCAAAAATGGACGATTCCAAAAAGCGAAAGCTTGCTTCAACATCCAGAGGTGAATCAGCTCCCAAGAAACTGAAATCATCGATTCAAAAGGTTCTGAAGAAATCCATAAATTGAAAGAAGCGAGGGTGTCCTTTACCGGCAAAGATGTGCGAATATTTCAGTTTTGGGTCTGCACTTTATTGATATTTAAATTAATTCATTTAGAGGGTGTGTGCATCACTCTCCTATTAGAATTCTTGGGTTGGTGAGAAAATGGTCTCTTTACAACGATATTTAATACTTTTGTGGGGTAATAGAACACTCGCATAATTAAGGTGTCTTTTTGAAAATTTGAGACAACTTCAGTGGTGACTTTATATATTTTCTCTAATATTAAATATATAGTTGTATCTATTGTTAATTTACATCCCTTGATAATATTTTACGTCAATTTATGTATAGTTGTTCAGTCCCCCACAAGGGCCTGAATAATTTTTTCACATACAAGTTTACCACTTAATCATAGTTAAGAAGTTATATATATTATTCCTTTAATTTTCAGTTATTAAGATTAACTTTAGTATGGTATAAATACCCAACATGAGTAAGGTTTTACCATTATTATTTGTATTAAGGGATGACCTGATAGAATAACATTTCTCATTAACATCATAAAAACAGGGCTTACAACAAAGCTCAATGTAATTTCATAATTTAGATAGAAACTTTGCATACATAATCCTCCCTAGACCCTTTTAGGATTACATTGAGTATGTCATCGTTGTATATAGAAAGTTTTCATAATTATGACAAATGTGGAAGGAGGAAATCAGAAGGATCATATGACAAAGCTTGCAATTTTTTTATTTATTTTTTTGAACTTGAGATAAAGCTTGCAAATTTACTTGCATATAAAGGCAAAAAGTAATGAAATGTGTTCCAAAAAGAGGCAAAATTAATCCATCTGTTATTCTATATCAACCAAGAAATAATACACTACCAAAAATTTTAAAAGAAAAATCAAAGTTTTACACAACTCCCTTCTTCACCAGGCCAAACCGTCTAGTGGTATCAGCGGGAAGTTTTAGACAAGTTTCGATATAATTCTCATAGTACTCCTTCCCCCTTAACCCAACCGTCTAATGTAATAGAATTTAAAAAATGGGAAACAGAATGTTGATTCTCATATAATGCAAGAGGTCTGACTAGCAGTAAATATGATATACTGTTGTTCTTTGAACAAAAATTATATGATCAGGTGTAGAATTTCACATGGGTCGTCCTCCATTAGAGAGCATCTGACCAATGATGTTTGTCACCTGAAAAGAAAGTAAAAAAGTGACTCGAACCGTTGATAACTATAGGTGTACCAAAGCTATCTACATTTTCAGTATAAAATTACCACAAGACATCTGAAACATAGTTGGAAGAACTAAACCAGTATGATAGTTCAAAGAAAGAAACTGATAACAAGGTATACTGCAGTTGTATTCTAACTCACGAGCCCCGTTAATGTAGCATAATGTTTGAGAAGCAACCAAGTGTGCAGGCATGGCAAATGGACGGGTTGAGACTTGAGTCAAATTGGGCAAGTTGAAAACAGGTTGAGAGAAAAATACTATGAAGTATATATACATATAATCTTCACAGCTTAAGCGAAAGAAAACCAAAAATTCATAGTAGCAACACTAATAAGATCGCTTGACAATTACTCCACGCCCAATTACACAACATTATTCAAGCAGCAACAAGTAGAGGTGTTTACCAGGCATTTCTGTCTATATTAAACGTAGTGATACTGAATATTAGCCACGTAGCAAGCTAATAAAAAGTCACATGGCAATTTTCGGATAATATTAATAGGCAATGCAATTTAATGTCATGCTATTATAGGTTACAATTCATTGATGAAGTAAGAAAATTACATTGTTCGTGTAACTAACTTAGAACCTTCTATGAAAAATGAGTCATTTTGAGATGTTAAGAATTCTTCTTTTAAATAAGCAAATTTGTGGAAATTTTTAAGAAGAAACTAGAAAATTCTATAATAAAAAGAAACTTTTGTGATGATTGACAAAGGATAAATAAGAAATCCGTATGAAAAGGGATGGAGGAACTAATGGATAATAGGAAGGAATAAAGAGAAGAGATTGGGGGAAAAGGCCAAAAAAATGAAACACATAAATTAAACAATAAATGGGGTAAGGTGCCAATAAATTTCGGGAAATTACCATATCAGAAGAGATAAAAGGGAAGGTGTGTGAGTAGTTTAAAAGTGCAGGTCAAACCAACTTTTAAGTATTTTGGTTTATTTTAGTGTTTGACAACCACCAAAAGCGTTTTCAAGCCAAATGCCACAAGTTGGATGGTCCAAACTTATTGTAAAGCTCTTTGAGTTTGACCAAATAGTTTATATTCATTTATAATCCCCAAAATACTATTCACAACACCAATACCCTGATTCCCCTCCTTTTTCCCTGCATTATTTAGAAAGAAATTGCTACTTGCTTCTATTATTCTTTGTGTTGAACTTCCAATTTTAACCTTATATTGTAACAACTAAGTTTCTTTGGAATCTACATTTTTTATGGGTTACTTTGGACTGCCCAAATCAGTCCATCAACAAAATACATTTTCCCCTTGGCGGGTAAACTTTTGGGTCAATTGTGAAACCCAAAAAGACTTCAAAACTCATGAAAAACCATCCTCAAACCCCTCTATCAGCACAAGCATCATCATCAGTCATCACAATTCAAGAGTGGCAAAATTGACCCAATAATATATAACCCACCCAACCTGCCTAAGATTTAATCATGAACCAAATGTATTTTATTGGTGGACTACTTTGGGCTATGCTCAGGTAACCCATCAAAGACATTATCCAAAATTAACTTGTGGAAATGTCCAACACTAACCCGTGTGAATTCCCCAACCTCACTTGTGAGCTAGCCATTAGTAGGTAATAGTCCCCCACACACATGCCTAATCTGATAGTTTCTATTCCTAATCTACACACTACTCTCCCAAGACCTCTTGTGGAATTACACTGGTATGGTATGATGTTATTGTTTACCTGTATATGCTTTATCAAAGCTCAGTTGCCAATTCAATTAGTTCCAAAAGTTGAATTCTAATTTTTTTTTTATACTTTTTGTTCTCTATCATTTTCAAGTGCTTTACAAATATGAAAAATTGCTTTCAGTTGTCTTTCTTGGAGGATCAGTGTGTCCCACATATTATTCATGAAAGTGACTTTATCAAAGATTGTCTTTGATACTATCAAACCACATCCTAAATATTAAGTGCTGGTAGTACAAATAAATGCTAATTTAGTATTTTTGTAACATTTTTACAATTTAAAGAAAAAATATGAAGCCATAATAGTTGCTAGTGAAACTAGTATTTCATAATATTTCTTCAGTTATGAGCTAAGATTAAGAGCCTGTTTGGATTGGTTTTTGGCTTATTTTTATCATTTTAGCTTTAAATTAAGTGCTTATAAGCACTTTTTTAGTTTATCCAAACACTTAGAAAGTGCTTAAGAGCTCGTTTGGATTGACTTATTTTAAGTGTTTTTACGCTAAAACAGCTTTAAACACTTTCGGATACCTTAACAAGTGCTTATAAGCACTTAGTTTTAAGCTAAAATGGTAAAAATAAGTCAAGACATAAGTAAGAATGGCTTGTGACTTATAAGTCAAAAGTCAATCCAAACAGGCTCTAAAAGCTACTTTGGCTTTAAAATACTTAAAATAAGTCAATCCAAACATAAGGGCGGGTCACAGACAGATTTCTCGATTATCAAAAAAAAAAGTCAATCCAAACATGCTCTAATCTATGCTAAGGCATGTAGGTCCTTAGAAATGTTGATTGAACTTTTTGCAATTCACTAAAAGACTCTACAATAGACAAAATTATCATTTACTATTTTCTTCAAATAATTATCATTTAATTATTATTTTAATATTTAGAACTAAGAAATTAATTAAAGTTATAACTATTAAATCTTTACTTATTTGTAGGATGTAAAAACTCATAAAATTTAGGACTTTTAATATAGTTCAAATAAGAAATAATTTGAGAAACAAAATTTTAGTCAATTTTAAAGTACTAAATATTTGGAGTTCTTACCTCTGACAAATAAGTAAAAATTTAATACTCCCTCCATCCCATTTATGTGGCACCCTTTCCTTTTTAGTCCATCCCAAAAAAATATCACCGAAATAATTTAACTTTAAAATTCCCTTTTTACCCTTAATGAGATAATTTATAACCACACAAATATTTGAGGATTGTTTTAGACCACAAGTTTCAAAAGTCTTCCTTTTTTTTCTTTAACACTGTGTCAAGTCAAATGGTGCCACATAAAATGAGACAAAGGGAGTAGTTATAACTTAAAATAATTCCCAAGTCTTAAATATTAGGATAATAATTAAATAACAATTACTTGAGAAAATAGTGAATAATAATTTTGTCTATTGCAAAGTCTTTTAATAAATGACAAAAAGTTCAATAAGGCCTTAATGTTTTTCATATAGTATAGATTATGGATACGGTCGGCGTGTAGTGAATCTGCACTTATTAGTATATTTAGTGACAAAACTTAATATTTGTTGTTCCATTCAATTTTTATTTTCTTATTTGATAGTGTGATCAAGTTGTACGCGTTGGGTTATGACTCATTGTTAAGACCCAAATTAACTTGGGCATGTTGATCATGAAATACTTATACCGCCTTAATTAACCTAACCACCCATTTTCCACTCCAGTTTTAATTACCTAGGTCCTAACTCTACTACGCTATTCAATTGCCTACTTTTTAAATTAAACTATTCAATTGCCTACTTTTTAAATTTCTTCTACCATCACCTAAAAACAAAAGAATTAGGGAAATCTTTTGTCCACAAACTAGGGTCCAAATATTTTTACTATATTACTCTCTAGGTTTTAATCAGCTTTTATGGACTAAACTAAATCTGCTAAATATCTATCTTACACTAGCATGAGTATTACAAACCCCCTCAAACTTTATAAAATGGATTTTTTCATAAATCTGTTGTATATTAACTGAAGTACTCTTTGCAACTTTATATTATTATTATGACCTGATATGAGCTTCGATGAAGAAATGAGAATTCATATAGCCGACCCAAACCTTTGGTGACCACATCTAGTGACCTTTACGGCTCTACCCTAGCCCCCAAGCTAAAATATCATTCAGTAAGAATATTTTATTTGATTCGAAAACTTAATACTTTTTTGCTTTAGTCCACAATGACCAAACAGCCTAGAAAGAAAACATAATACTTGTTTGCTTTAGTCCACAATGACCTAACAGCCCCGAGAAAGAAACTGGAAGTATATGAACTGTTATCTAAACCTAGAAATTGATAGAGGTCCTGCAGAAGTGCATGACACAAAAAATTTAAGGAAGAAGAAGATCATTGTTTCCGGCTGCTTTTGAGTGCAAAGGCAACTGTAATTTCAAAATTACTGAATTAAAATTCATTTAACTGCAAACAGAACACTTATCCTCCCACCAAAAGGAAACAAAATATTATTGAAATGAAATTACGAATGATTTACCTGCTGATATTTCGAGACACAACGATCAATGCAGGTATTTTCACCCATATATAGCTCACCCTCCTTGTACTTTTTCTCGACACACTTGTTGAAGCACGTATGGGTGAGTCTAGATCACAACAAGAAACAAATTCAGAAATCTTGTACATATGTCTTCGATGGAAGGAACTATGCAACAATACTGGGGCTGAATTAGAAGGAAAACTGAATTGTATGGATAATTACCAAGTCTTAAAATTTTATTTACGAGCTCCAAGAAGATTTCTTTGGTGCTGTTAGGTTACTACTAAAGAGACTTGTGACTGAAACAGTCATGATTTGGAACACCTTACTTGTTAAAAAATTCAACCCTGTACTCCATCTCCTTCTCAGCCATGCCAAAAATCTGCATACATAAGGCAAAAGGGAGAGGGAGTGTAAGAACACCTAGAAATTTTTAGCTTGAAAAGTCCCGCATTCAACTTAGAAGGTGGAACTACTAACAAATGTGTGATAACCACACAAAAAGAATTATTCCTTACAGATAAACATAGACAAAATGATAAACACATCACAAAAGTAAAGAACCTGCTCCGCGTCCACTTCTCTTGGTAAGTTATTAGCAGCCATCATTACAGAGCTGTAAGACAAAAAACAGCATTTGGATCAAATAGTGTAGTTGCAGGTCTGATCTCAATGAAAGAAAAGGGCAAATATGCTAAAGGAAATTTGTTTATTTTTGATAACCAAGAAATCCCGAGGGCCAGTGATGCGCGATTCCAACTCAGTGGATAATGGGCCCTCCTCTCTATCCACTTAAAAACCAGGCTTCTCTGTAGCAAGATTCGAACATGTGCCTAACCCACAAATTACAAACTATGGTCTTACCACTAGACCAAAGCCCTTAGCACAAATATGATAAAAGAACTTTATCCTAACAAAACCGACAAACGTGAGGATGATGTTCAATCATAATATCCCTTATGTACCAATTGCTACCGCACCACTGCCTTCAACTCAATGTTGTTTGCATGTGTGTACAAAAGTCAAAGTACAAGTGTTCTCCAATGCAAAGAAAAACATACAGAAAATATGCTAAGAAAACATTAGCCTAAGGATGATGCCCAATCATCATACCCTTATGCCCTGAACAGCGAATCTGCTATATAAGTAGCAAGTTTAAGTGCCCACACTACCTTGAACTTCATATGTGTAATACACATGCATTTTTCCCGACAAACTACCCTTGCATACCTCATCTATAAGCATTTCTATTTGACCATATATATACAGTAAGGACAATGTCAAGTCATCATGACCTTCTGTCCTGGCGAAAGAACAGGGGCAGAACCAAATATTCTTTTCTTTTTTATATAACCGTAGCAAGGACAACACCAAGTCATCATGACCTTCTATCTTGGGGAAAGAACCAAATCTTCTTTTTTTTATAACCGTAGTGTTCAAGCCAGCATGGATGCACCTCAACTAATTTCACGAGATACCTACCACCTCCCCACCAACAACTCGTCCAACGGAGCCAACTATTCTAATAAGGGGATTCAAGAAAATCCAAACTTCCATAATGAGTGAATACAATTAGCTACACCAAATGGGATTCAACAATTTATACATATACACAAAAGTTTAGTTTTTTAAGCTAATTATTATACCAAATAACTCTCCAACAAAGGGGACAACACTTACCACCCCCATCACTACAAATTCAATCTACTGAATTTGTAGCTAGTGCGTATACATCCAAATTAATGCTAAGTGGAACCTATTGCTACACAACACATTGCATATGGTGACATTTTACAAATTTAAAAATTCTAAATTTGCAGAATTACGAATCTATATGTTCATGTTGATAGAAGCATGAATAAAAAAAGTGACGAAATTTACCGATAAAATTATCTTCTGCTCTTTTTCGTATTTGAGAGAGGGGGAGAAGGAAGGATACTTGGTTTATTAGGGTTTAACTAGGGTTTTTCTTCGAATGAAGGGGGAGTTTTGAAGGGTACAAATCGACCCGACCCGAATGATATTGTACTTGACCCGTTTACGTTTTTGCCCAATAATTAGGGAGAATTTGCTGAGAAAAATATTGAAACATTGGGTTTGTTTATTAGGGAGAAAAATGTTTTTCATCAAAAATAAGTAAGTCATTTATTTTATTTTTATTGTGTTCATATGTAGATAAGATATATTATTTAAAATTATTTGTATCATTTAGATAAATATTGTGATATAAATTATATCAATACAAAAAATGCTTAAACTGATAGAAGTGCCTATAGCAATTTAATGATTTATACGAGTTTAGTAATTATCTAAATCACATTTATTTTGATTGAAGTTAAACTATTCACTAATAACTTTAACAAAATAAAAAAAAGCTACCAAATGAAGTCATTTTTAGAAAGCCAAAATGTTTTTTAAAAAAAATAATAATAATATATATTTAGTTTAAAGAGTTGAGATGTTTGCCTAATAGCTTGTTTAATCTATTAGTGAAGACTCAAACACCGGTAATATCTTCACTCTTTGAATGACAATTAGATGTTTATTAGATCCATAGTGCGCTTATTACTATCTTATTAAGAATCTTATCAGAAAAATCGATTGAAACAAAAGCTAGTCAATGAAAAAAGAATATATGTAAATCGCATCCTTCATAATCTCAATGCTCCTTTAAAAATTTTCAATTCTTTATGGTCTAGGTTGGAAACCCTTCTTAAAGTGACCTTTATTCTTTGCCTAACCTTGATCGACTTCAGGTTGGTCTCCCATGTCTAATAGGGTGTTTGAATTGGCTTAAAAGTTACTACTTTTAAATCAGTTTTTGACTTCTTAAAGTGTTTGACAAATATAAAAAATAACTTAAAGTAAGTAAAAAATGACTTAAAATAAGTTATGAGCATTTGACAAGGTAAAAATGACTTAAAATAAGTCAAAAACCAAAAGTAGGTCTCCCCTACTTTTGATTTGTTTGACTTAAAAGTCATTTTAATTTGACTTTTTATTTTTGATTTAAAAACTACTTTTTTTTAAGTCAATACAAATGGGCTCTAAGTATTTTTTTTCATGGGTTCAGTAGTTATCATACTCCCTTTATCTCAATTTATATGACTTACCTTTTTTTTTTAATCAAAAATTATAAAATTAAAATTGTGATTTCGCTTCTATAATTATAAGTATATAAATGCATTTTTTCTTTTAGAAAAATCTAACAAGAAAAATGCCACAAAAACCGAAATAAAAAAGGCCCCAATAGTATGACAAAATATATAAAAAAAGATTTCACGTAAACTGAAATTAAAGAAGTACCAACAGTTTGACAGAATGTACCTTAGGGTTATCCAATTTTCAACAATCGAAATCAAGAAAAAATTATTCTCTCTGCCCTAGTTTATATGACTCATTTTTTCTTAGTCAGTCTAAATTTTTTGACATATTTTTATATTTAGTATCAATTTAACTTCAAAATACCAATTTTACCCTTAGTGGAATGAATTATACTCACACAAATATTTATAACTTAATTTAGATCATAAGTTTCAAAAGTTTACTTTCTTTCTTAAACTACTTGTCAAGTCAAAACTATATCACATAAATTTGGACGGACGGAGTATATTGAAACAATTATTTCATCCAAACATGTACTTAAGTTTGAGAAGACACTTTTGGCAATTCTTTTCACTAAGAAGATGAAAATGGGGTCCTCTCCCTTGTCATTGTGTCCTTTGTGCTCCACAAGAAAAAAAAAAAACTCTACTCCATTGTCATTGCAAGTCACAATTACTCTCTACTTTAAGAAAAAAGCAAAGATAACAAACAAAGACAAGAAATTACTCCAACATACTCAAAACACAACCTTTCCACCATTTCAGCCATGCTTCTCATCATCAACTTTTTACCAACTCCTTTAAAATCCTTCAATTTTTCCCTCTTTTCCTCAGCCTCTGATCTGATAATCAGCTTCTCTTTTTCCCTCAATTTATGAGCTAAGAAGCAGTTACTTGAAGCCATTTCCTTTGAATGCTTCAAAAGTTCAAGCTTTAAGCTCAAAAGAGTTTCTTGAAATGCTTCAAAAGTTCATCTTTTTCTCATTTTGTGCTGAAAGACAATTTATTTTTGATAAGGGGTTCTGAAAAATTGTCAAACTTTTAATGCAGAACCTCAAGAATGCTACAATTTGTCCCTGTTTACTCAATCTGTGAACTGAAAGACAGTTTTTTGGGTAATGGGTACTGGAAAGTTTCAACTTTTAACACTTCTCATCTTGAATTTTGATGATTTTTCTTAAATTCTTCAATTGCTTCATCTTTTTTCTCAATCTGTGAACTGAAAGACAGTTTTTTGGTTGAAAAATGCCTAATCTTGGAGCTAATAAAGCTGACACAGAGGGAAATGTTGGTTCCGGCCGTCATCGCCGCCGTAGACGCCGCGGGAGGCCATCCATGGCGGCGAGCAGTGAGACAACCACAACTGATGGGAGTTTCCACTTCACTGATTCTGATTCTGACCAATCTTGGCACTCACCTTTAGGCTCTATGGATGATATTTCAGTATATTGTGATCAGCAGCCACTGAGGAGGGACAACAAGCAAAGAGGGTATAATTCTTTGTCAGATGATGAGATTGATTTGGAGTGTGGTGAATTGGAGATGAAGTTGCATAGTAAAGAAGAGAAGGATTGTAGGATTTGTCATTTGAGTTTGTTGAAAAGTGGAGGGATTAGTAGTGGTGGAGATCAAGTGCAAGAGACTTCCGGAGGGATGGCTATTGAATTGGGATGTTCTTGCAAAGGTGACTTAGGTGCTGCTCACAAACAATGTGCTGAAACTTGGTTCAAAACCAAGGGAAACACGTGAGTACAACCCCCCACTTTGTTTCGTGGTGTCCGAATCAACTTACTGTATTTACTTTTCAAATTTGCTTTAAAATATCTTACTTGAGCCGAGCGTTCTATAGGAAACAATCTATCTACCTTTAGGGATAATAAGATCTGCGTACACATCACCCTCCCTAGACCCGTGGGATTACACTACGTTTGTTGTTGATGATGTCTGGATTAACTTGTGTGCACCTAGCTAATTTTAATTCACGAGGGGCCTGCTACCTCCATCCAGCACAAGTTGCAGGTGACTCTATTGTTGGAAGAATAGAGTTTTTGCCACCGTTGCGACTGAACTTGAGATCTCAGCATTCTCGGGCCACTTCATTGATCTTGTGTTTGTTAAGTAGTTATTTCGATTTTTTGGAGATTTGTGTGCAAAGGCGGTAAATACTTACCCGCATGCACCTGGTGCTTACAATAAACCATCAAAATTTACTATGGTTATTGGTTACGTGATTTAATAAGGTGAGAATGTATGTTAATCTCCAATGACATTATAATTTATGAACCTGAAGTCGTTAGGTGCTCGGTGGTGTGGTTTGTTCCTGTTCTGGTTAAGTTTGGAGTGATCATTTAATTTTTTTTCATCGTGAATTGGTATATCCATATTTTGGGGCAACCTAGGATTCCATTTTCTTCTTGTTATCTTCTATAGTGATAGGATGTCCAGAAAAAATCTATTGATAATGATAGAAGCATTATATTGAAGTTCTTCAATATAGGTTATTGAACTGGGTCTTGCCAAAATATAGTATGTTTGGAATTCTTCTGCATACCATACCAGGTATCGAAGGCAATCATCGTCGTAATTTTAAATTTGTCGCATGTTCTTTTTCACATAGTATATTGTTTCGTTTATAACTGCAACTATACTTCTGTCATCTACTTCATTTCTTGGATTCAAGTTGATATACAACAATAACCGGACCAATATAAATATTCTTATACATTTAAGAAATTTCTTAATACAAATTACATAGTTTAGATACAAGTTACTAGGTTCACGTTTATCGCACTAGATCCTCCCCTGTGACGATCGAAGTGCAAAGTTGTACTAATATATTAGCTGAAGAAGTGAAAAGACTTCTCTCCCTACCCTATGACCTTTGTGTGTGCGCATTAATTCCTCAATATGTGTCTTCGGTTATGCACTTATGCTAATTTACTGTATTCTATGATTCAGAATTTGTGAAATCTGTGGTACCAATGCACTGAACATTGCTGGAGTGCAGACAAATGAAGCCAATAATGCTTCAGTAGCCCCTCTTGCAGCATCCGCAGCACCTATAGCCTTTTCTGAAACCCGAGGCTTTTGGCATGGACGTCGTGTTATGAATTTTCTACTTGCATCCATGGTTTTTGCCTTTGTCATCTCATGGCTTTTTCACTTCAATATATTGCCCTAGATGCTTCTGAGGATCGTCCTGCAACGTGGTTTGTATTGTGAGGATTCAACATAAATTAACTAGATTTTACGCTGGTTGTCAATCTACTGCAACTCTCCTCCTCTATCCGGGCTCAGGACTTGCAGAAATGTTTTACTAACTCGCAACATTAACAGCTCCAATCCCTGAAATTTGTACTATCGAGCTACATCTAGGCAGCTAAAAGGTTTATGAAAGGTGATCTGGTATCTGGTATAGGCCATGCTGTAAACGAGTCGATGATATGTAGGGTGTCAGCCATTAACTTCTCGATCTTGTTTGCGATGATGATTGTTGCCTAGAATAGAAGATAGTTTTGTTGATCAAACAGCTTGATGAATTTTAAAATTCTTCCCATTTAGTGTACATATGTAAGTATGTATAGACGTAAGTCGATGAAGCAGTAGCATTCTGTTGTATATCATCCTTGAAAACTCTGTACAAATCTCTCATGGCTGTTGCAATTGTGTTAGCATCTAAATGTTTTCTTTGATAACAGCGTGTTCTTAAGCTCATCTCGACTATTCCACCGAGTATATGTTACTTCCCATCATCATACGTATCGGGCAATTATGCTACTATCTATGGCTGTTGCAATCAACTGTGTTAGCTACTGAATTTTCAATATGACACTGCTTCTTATATGTTCAGCTCATATCCCTTTGTATGTTTTTTCATTACAAAAGTAGTAATCTATGTGGAGATCTGGTGCTTCAAATAGAATGAATGAACCAACTTCTTGTATAATAACTGGAATTTAGATGTTCAAAAAAGGTTACTTGTTTTGGTTCACATATAAGTTTTAATCCAAACATTTGCATGTTTCATGTCACACAACTTGCAAGTTTCACAATCAAGCACATATATACTACAAGCAGTTCGCAACTTGATTGGGCTGACTGTTGCAGCTAGTGATGGGTAGATAGATCATGCCAACTTTTTTTCTACAAGGATGTATGACACCTAAAGAACTTCCACTTTTTGAGATGACAAAAACAAGCGCACAGACTTCATTACGCGAAGGCACAAAGTAGAATGCTCTATTCTTTTAAATCAGTGACAACATCTTTTAAACATGATCTCATAACCTCTCCAAGTTTGGAGCAAGCACCAAGACATAGCTCCATTGCCTCGTTGATCTTTGGTGTTGACCATCCTCCAGATACAATCAGTTGAGTGACCTCATTACGCGAAGGCATACAAGTTATCATTAAGCTTCCATCTTGGTAGCTTTCTTCCTCGGAAATGGGATCAATGACAAAGTTCTTTCCAATACAAGATACAGAAACTGAGGCAACCAAGTCGTACAGCAAAATTCCTGCATCTGCTAAAGCTAGACTGGCACATGATATGACCACGGGGAGATCACTTCCACCAGATTCCAATACCAAAGCAAAAACATCCACACACGTCTTTGGGAAGGATTCCAGAATTATAACACCTTCTAAAGCTCTGTGTAACATTGAGGAAAGTTCCTTGTTGTCTGATCCCTGCCCACGATTAGGGGTGGCAAAACTTGTGTAACTAACATTACAATTTAAGCGTCCTGTATCACTGTACATCATTGCCTTTTTACTTTCCCTTGGCCCAAACACAGATACGATCACCTTGGTGTTTCCAAACTCTGCATATGCTGATCCTGCAGCTGTACTCACAGCACCAGTCCTCAGATAAGCAGGACGGCACTGATAGAAGCCACGATTATCAGGACGAACCCAATCAGCATCGGCAATGGGGATTCTCTTCTTCTTGCGCGTTGCTGGAGACGGTGAGTATGTCGTTGGTGTCGACCCCGATTTTCCAGCCATCAGCTTCTGAAAATAAAATAAAATTCCCCTGTAGGTGAGTCCAAGAGAAGTCTTGGTTTAATGATAATACAGAAAAACAGTAGAACACCGAGGATTTTAGTCATTGTAACACATCATTAAATAAGATTAAAACTCTCCACTAAAATTGAGCTATATCAAGTTGGAAGTATTATGATGGTATTACAGACTCCAAAGGCTCTTTTAAACCCAAAAGGCCAAAACCAACAAGACAGCTGACCTAGCCAAAAAATTTGGCCTATATCACAGTAAATTGTAAGTTGACCTCGAATCGATTCAAATCAGCCCTCTCAATAATTTCAGGCAAGGTGTAGTACAATTTGATAAAACATAAGCTTATTGAAAGCTTTTAAAAAAGTATGAACCTTAAAAATAAACTATAGTAAAATGTAATAACATAACTGGAGAAAGTAATATAGGTATCATTCGACTCTGTATAGGCTAAAGCAAACTCACCAATTAGATCACTTTGAATTTGTCTTCCAAATTTTGACAAAAATGATGGAGGGGAAGAGTTGGTTATTCTCTCCTAAAATAAGGTATATTTTGGCCCATATTTGTAAAAAAGTTCACTTTGAGCAATACACATAATCAACAACAACAACATACCTAGTGAAATCCCACAAGTGAGGTCTGGGGAGGGTAGAATGTATGCAGACCTTACCATTACCTCATGGAGGTAGAGAGGCAATACACATAATCAATGAGCACATATCTCAATGCTAAGGGGGGATTAGATTGTTCTCTTGTACGTGTTACTATTAGACATGCAAAAAGATGTTTGTAAATAAGAAAACAATCAATCATTAACTCCTTAATCCCAAACAATATGTTCGCAATTTACAAAGTGAAATACTTCAAACACATATGTTTAGAAGTAAAATTTAAGCACTATGACATTCCAAAACTGCAAACACAAAAGATAAAAAGGAAAAAATACAAAAAAACACATTACTGACAGGATAAACATTCACCATATAAGCCTACCTGTTCACCATATCTCCAGTTACCCTATCGTATGAGAGTTCTATCTTAATTTTTGTTCCTTTATTGCAGTAATATCCAGACACATCTTGCTAGTATCTCAACTAACCTGCTGGATAAGTGCAACTAGCATAGGTACCACATAATCCTACCTACCAAGGCTAGGCTGATGAGAAAGATTCACCTCTTTTTTGGAAGAGGGATAAATTCACCAAATGTCACATTTATTGGACAATGCATACATATAGAAATAGGAGGAGGGGGTGTAAGATAACCCAGAAAAGTTCAGTTTGAAAAGACTCAGATTCAACGTCTCACATAGAATGCAAATATCTAGAAACTTAGAAGGCAAGAATTACTAACAAATGTGTGATGACCATACATACAAAAAGAGCTATTCCTTACAGATAATCAAAGACTAGAATGATAAGCACATCACAAAAGTAAACAGCATTCTCCTTCTCAATTTACGCTGGTAGGTTATTAGCAGCCATCTCTATGGAGCTATGAGACAAAAAACAACACTTGGATCAAAAAGTCTAGTTACAGGTCTGATCTCAATGCAAAATAAAAATAAAATACTTTGTTTTTTTGAAAACCGAGAAATGTCTGAGGGCTAGTGATATTTAGTTTGAAACTCGATGGATAATGGGCTCACCCCTCTGCTCTTCTCCACTTAAATACCAGGCTTTCTTCAGCAAGGTTCAAACGCGTGACATGCACCTAACTCACATATCACAAGCTACAGTCTTACCACTAGGCAGACCTGGGGGAAAATATGCTAAAAGAACTTTATCCTAGTAAAGCTGAGGAATGTGAGGATGATGTTAAAATCTGTACAACGGATCTACTCTATTGTGTGTACCAATTGCTACTGCACCCACTGCCTTCCAGGCTTCAACTCAATGCTGTTTGAGTGTGCTTGTACAGAAGGATGACTTCCAATCGTCATACCATTATTCCCTTGGCAGTGAATCTGCTACATGAGTAGCAAGTTTAAACTTTAAATGCACACTGCCTTGAACTCCAGGTGTCTAAGCATACATTTAACAATGGCAGAGCCAAGAAAATTCTATTAGGAGGATTCAAAAAAATCCAAACTTCCATAATGAGCGAATACACTTAACGACATCAATGGGATTCAACAATTAATATAAACAACAACAACATACCCAGCGTAATCCCACAAGATTCAACAACAACAAGCATGAAGACAAACAAGTGAAGAAATTTACCGATAAAATTATCTTCTGCTCTTTTTCGTATTTCAGAGAGAGAGGGAGGAGAAGGAAGGATGTTTGGTTTATTAGGGTTTAGCTAGGGTTTTTCTTCCATGTGAAGAGGGAAGTTTTGGAGGGTACAAACCGACCCGACCCGAGTGCTATGGTTCTTGGGACAAGAATATACTTCTTTTTTTCTCAATTTTTTTTACATTAAATTTGGAAAAATATAATTCAAGAGCTAAATGCATGTTCAGATAAAATTTTATTTTTACATATCATTTTTCAAATTTAACTTCAAATATTATTTTTCAAATATATCTTGATTCAAATATGAATGTTTGTTTAATAATTTCTTTTGGATTAAAATATTGAAAGAGAAGATAAATTTATGCTAAAAGTTAATGTGAAAGTCTGTATCAATTATTATAGTATTTTAACCGAGTTTAATAAGTATTTTTTCTATTTCATTTAGTCCATAAAAAAGTGATGCATTTCTTTATTTAACAAATATTTAATGACATAAATCAACATTTTCATCGTATTGCGTCTCATTTAATTGTCAATTTTTTTTTATAAAGATTAACTTTTTTATTTTAAAAATTTATTTAATTAAAGAGTAATTTTGAGATATTACAAAGTCTCTCATATTTTTGAAATTCTATGTCTAATCAAATTTCATCACATAAATTAGGATATATGAAATAATAATTATCATTTAATATGTAGTTGTTTGGCAAAGTTTTTATGAGACCTATTTTCTTTTTTAAAGTACTTATTTTAAAAAGAATAAGGTGTTTGACGAAAGAAAAAATAATTTTATCATAAGCTAAAACAAATTGCAGCCTTTTTCAAAATATTGTCAAACACTACTTGGTGCTCAAAAATATTAAATTTATTGATCAGACATTATAAAAACACTTTTTTAAACAATGTGATTTGAGGAGAGACTAAACAAAAAATCTATTTCGATTGAATTAAACTATCCACTTTAACAAAATCAATAAAATAAAATAAAATAACTTAAATCAAATTAAACCTAGGTCCTTTGCCCAAACAGCTTAACCCTCAACTATTTCTCCTCTCTCTCTCGCTCGCTCGCTTCTCCTCTTGGGCCCTTTTGCCATCACTTCTCTGTTAGATTTTCTTCTTTTTCAACAAAATTTCAAGCTTTTGTTTGTGGTGGAGCAGTAAAGTTTACATCTTTGGCCTTGAATTAAGGTACCCATTTGTTCTAAGTGTTTAGTTAAGTGGGTGAAATTATGTGCTACTACTTCTTTTGTCCAAATTTAGGTGAATGAGTCAAAGCATCTTATACTTTGTGTCTATTGGGGCATAGATTCTTTAAGTTGTTTTAGAGTAAAATTTACATTTTTGGAGACTACATAATTGGTAATTGAGAGAATCATAGTTGGTTTCGTTGATTTTTGAATCTGAAAACACAAGGGTAAGTAGGCTTGACACGGAATT